GAACTACCGTCAATACGACAACACGATATACAGAACTACGGTCAATACAACAATACAGATACACAGAACTATCGTAAATACAACACAGGTATACAAAACTACCGTCATACAACACAGATATACAAACCTACCGTTAATACAACAACACAGGTATACAGAACTACCGTCAATACGACAACACAGATATACAGAACTACCATCAATAAAACACAGGTATATAGAACTACTGTCATACAACAACACATATATGCAGAACTACCGTCAATACAACAACATAAATATACAGAACTACCGTCAATACAACAACACAGGTATACAGAACTACGGTCAATACAACAACACAGGTGTACAGAACTTCCGTCAATACAACAACACAGATATACAGAACTACTGTCAATTCAACAACACAGATATAGAGAGCTATCGTCAATACAACATAGGTATACAGAACTACCGTCAATTCAACAACACAGGTATACAGAACTACCGTCATTATAGCACAGGTATATAGAACTACCGTCAATACAACAACACTGGTATACAGAACTACCGTCAATACAACAACACAGGTATACAGAAGTACCGTTAATATAACGACACAGGTATACAGACCTACCGTCAATAAAACAACACAGGTATACAGAACTACCGTCAATACAACAATACAGGTGTACAGAACTAACGTCAATACAACAACACAGGTATACAGAAATCTCGTCAATGTAACAACACAGATATACAGAACTACCGTCAATAAAACAACACAGATACACAGAACTACCGTCAATACAACACAGGTATACAGAACTACCGTCAATACGACAACACGATATACAGAACTACCGTCAATACAACAATACAGATACACAGAACTATCGTAAATACAACACATGTATACAGAACTACCGTCATACAACACAGATATACGAACCTACCGTCAATACAACAACACAGGTATACAGAACTACCGTCAATACAACAACACAGATATACATGACTACCATCAATACGACAACACAGATATACAGAACTACCGTCAATAAAACACAGGTATATAGAACTACCTTCATACAACAACACATATATACAGAACTACCGTCAATACAACAACACAGGTGTACAGAACTACCGTCAATACAACAATACAGATACACAGAACTATCGTCAATACAACACAGGTATACAGAACTACCGTCATACAACACAGATATACAGACCTACCGTCAGTGCAACGACACAGTTATACAGAACTACCGTCAATACAACAACACAGATATACAGAATAACCATCAATACAACAACACAGATATACAGAACTACCGTCATTATAGCACAGGTATATAGAACTACTGTCATACAAGAACACAGATATAGAGAACTACCGTCAATACAACAACACAGTATACAGAACTACCTGTAATACAACAACACATATATACAGAACTACTGTCAATAAAACAACATAAATATACAGAACTACCGTTAATACAACAACACATATATACAGAACTACCGTCAATACAACAACACATGTGTACAGAACTACCGTCAATACAACAATACAGATACACAGAACTATCGTCAATACAATACAGGTATATAGAACTACTGTCATACAACACAGATATACAGACCTACCGTCAATGCAACGACACAGTTATACAGAACTACCGTCAATACAACACAGATATACAGAACAACCGTCAATACAACACAGATATGCAGAACTACCGTCAATACAACACAGATATACAGAACTACCGTCAATACAATAACACAGATATACAGAACTACCGTCAATACAACAATACAGGTATACAGAACTACCGTCAATACAACACATATATACAGAACTACCATCAATACAATAACACAGATATACAGAACTACCGTCAATACAACAATACAGGTATACAGAACTACCGTCAGTACAACAACACACATACACAGAACTACCGTCAATACAGCAGTGGTATACAGAACTACCGTCAATACGACAACACCGATATAGAGAACTACCGGCAATACGACAACACAGGTGTACAGAACTACCGGCAATACAACAACACAGGTATATGGAACTACCGGCAATACAACAACACAGGTATACAGAACTACCGTCAATACCACAAAACAGATACACAGAACTATCGTCAATACAACAACACAGGTATACAGAACTACCGTCAATACAACAACACAGGTATGAGGAACTACCGTCAATACAACACAGGTATATAGAACTACCGTCATACAACAACACATATATACAGAACTGCCGTCAATAAAACAACACAGGTGTACAGAACTACCGTCAATACAACATCACAGGTATACAGAACTACCGTCAATAGAACTCTGGTATAAAGAACTATCGTTAATAGAACAACATAAGTATACAGAAATACCGTAAATACAACAACACAGGTATACAGAACTACCGTCATTACAACAACACAGATACACGAAACTACCGTCAATACAACACTGGTATACAGAACAACCGTCAATACGACAACACCGATATACAGAACTACCGTGTATGCAACAATACAGATACACAGAACTATCGTCAATACAACACAGGTATACAGAACTACCGTCAATACGACAACACGATATACAGAACTACCGTCAATACAACAATACAGATACACAGAACTATCGTAAATACAACACATGTATACAGAACTACCGTCATACAACACAGATATACAGACCTACCGTCAATGCAACAACACAGTTATACAGAACTACCGTCAATACAACAACACAGATATACAGAACTACCGTCAATACAACAACACAGATATACAGAACTACCGTAAATACTGCACAGGTATACAGAACTACTGTCATACAAAAACACAGATATACAGAACTACCGTCAATACAACAACACAGGTATACAGAACTACCTGCAATACAACAACACAGGTATACAGAACTACCGTCAATACAACAACACAGATATACAGAACTACAATCAATACAACAACTCCGATATACAGAAACACCGTCAATACAACACAAGTATCCAGAACTACCGTCAATACAACAACACAGGTATATAGAACTACCGTCAATGCAAAAACACAGATACACAGAACTACCGTCAATACAACACAGGTATACAGAACTACCGTCAATACGACAAAACCGATATACAGAACTACCGTCAATACAACACAGGTATACAGAACTATCGTCAATACAACACAAGTATACAGAACTACCGTCAATACAACAACACAGGTATATAGAACTACCGTCGATGCAAAAATACAGATACACAGAACTACCGTCAATACAACACAGGTATACAGAACTACCGTCAATACGACAAAACCGATATACAGAACTACCGTCAATACAACACAGGTATACAGAACTATCGTCAATACAACACAAGTTTACAGAACTACCGTCAATAAAACAACACCGATATACAGAACTACCGTCATACAACACAGGTATACAGAACTATCCTTAATAATACGTTGCACTTTTCCAGCTGTTGTACATGCTGTTATAAATTCTAGTTATATTTGAATGACATCTTAATTTTACTGGTGTATCCTGATCAAAGAAAGAAATTTGCATGATACAATATCTAAAGATAGAACAGTTGTCTTTTTCTTCAGAATCACTCTGTGTTACAAAATACCTTGATATGCGGGCACTTATTATCCTCTGTAATCGTTCGTGAATCTTGGTATCTAGTCAAGAGGGATAATTGAAACTGATACTTCACGCACTGCCGTTTATCACACGAGATCGAACCTGACATCAAATTCACAGCCATGCTTCAACGGTCAAACCATAAGGACTTCCCTGATCAGTATATGTGTGAATAGTTAGGAAATCTGATAACAAATAAGCACAATTATATATTGTTTATGGTAAGAAGATAGATGATAATCGTCTGTTCAGTACGTCACCGTGTAATCAGTGTTTACGTAATCAACGCTGATCTGCGCCTATTGTTAATGTGGAATGTTGCAGTGCACAGGGACATGATGATTTAAAAAATTAAATACGTAAACATATTTCACTCTTTCTTGATAGTAAGTCGTCTCAGGGAGATTATAAATCTCACGTTATGAGATAGCTTAATTCCATGTGTTGTTATTAACATTCTTTAGAAATGGGTCGGTCTATATCTAATAGATCTTATTGATCAAGAAAACAATTCTTTTTCTCTATTTTTTGTTTGCTTATCTAGATAAATAAAATTATGCATCATTGTTGCATGCGTAACAAATAGTGAATCTTTCTTAATTGCGGGGAAACATTCCTAGCATTTTAAGATCACATCTGAAGCGAATTCAATTGGTGTGTTTTGCTCTAAAAATAATCCATTGTACATAACGCATATTCTTCATAGGTGCACATTCCTGTCGGCGGAGGCGTGACAGCCATTTACTCCTGGATATTAATAGTCACGGCCGATAAAATAAACAATAAACAGATTCCTAGCTAGAGATTTGTTTTATCCATTATCAACGAATGATAGTCGGGGTTTTTTTTCTAATGTCATTTGTGAGGAGACAGAAATTTATTCGGTTTGTTTTTTTTCTCGGAACTGTTTGCATGATATCACCTGCTAAAAAGTTCACAGATCAAGGTCAGTTTACTGTTTTATTAACATCGTCAATCATTTCATTTCGACGCTTAATACCCAAGGTATCTAAAATATACCCGTACACGTCGTGAAAACTGCGTCCGGGGTATATATTGACCAATCAAATTGTAGCATACAATCGACAGCTGTGAAATTATACCTTTCATGGAGATTGGAAAGTTTGTACACAGTGTAACCGCTCTATTAGTGACGAAAAATGATACCTCTGTCAGTTTTAATTATGGAAAACCTCGCGTGACCTTCGCGTGCTGGTCACGCGCATCTGGTTTATGGGTAAAAGAAATTGTATGAGTATGCCGGTGATATTTTAGACATTTTATTCGTTCTGCTTGCTTTTGGGCGTGGAGGCAAATTATCAGCACCTCATGTAGTCGTCGTGTGGCGGTAAGTAGATAAATTATACATATGTGTGGATATATATATATCATTCTAAAAGATTTGCTTATGATCACACGACTGTAATATCTAGGGGAAGTCTTGTAAAGTAAGTTAGACGTTTAACCTACAGACGGTTAAGTGAAGACTTTTGTTTGATATTGCTTGATAACCATGACGAGAAATGATTTTTGGATAAAAACAGTCTGCATTCTTTAATGTGCTTAGATCATTAAGTGTAGTTTCATCATTAAAAAAACTGCTATACTCAAATCCTATCAGTTGTATTGGAAATTTCCTCAGCCGACGGATCCATTAGTGTTGAACTGAGACCGGAATATCGAGTCGTAAAATGATCAGATTTATATTGTAGAACAAATTTCAGTGTGGGATTTGACCGTGACATATTTTTTGCAATGCTTAACTGAATAATTCATAACAATCTTTAGTAAAATTAGTTAAACGGACGTGTAATTTGAGTTCAAACCGATAGAAAATATTTTGTACATGTAAGTGATACGGTAATACATGTACATTGTATATCTTACACAGGTGTTAAATTAAATTGTACATGCATATTCATTTCTGAAAAATCTATCTATATATAGAAAGTTGACAGATGTATGTGTAATTAAAGTTCTGTAGTTGACCACTCAAGCTTCACGACTGCATTGACTTTTTATCAGTACTTTGCACCTGTGAGGGTATATGTTTCAATATTATACGCCGAAATGGAAAATAAATCGATTGCGTTTTGACAACAAAGTGCTCTATTGCGTTGGTGGAGTTAAGTGATATCAGAAATAACACTTGCATTTTATTTTTATTTTTATTTCTTTCGTCATTTTGGTTCCCTACTTATATTTTAATTTTCTTGTTTCAATCTTTTTATATATATATATATATATATTTAACAATTCTTCACATCAAATTCTCGAAGTTTTCTTGTGTAGGTATTCCATGTACTTGTTTAACTAATTCTAAGTTAAAACCATTCAGAGGAAATTTTATATCATCACAGATACGGTCAAAGGGTGCATTTATGAAATAACGAAGTACAGAACATGAGAATTAGGAGCCTGGCGGCCGTCAAACCGTCAGTGGGTTTGTAGTACGACTTAATATCAGTAGTGCCCTAATCTACTGACTGGTGATGTCTGTACCGATCACCGGTCGATGTATACTGCCGATCTCGGAGCACACAAGACCATTTCGTCTCCACGATGTGTTAGTTTAATCACTTTATTGCTTTCTTAATACGAACGGAGTGGAAATGTTCTTTTCAAAATCTTTGAAAAAAAACAGCTCTCCAGAGCAGATATAAACAACAGTAATTATAATAATCTATATAAAGAGGGAAGTAATTAAGTGATTTGAATCACATTTAGCTGCACGTGCAGCAACTTAAATATGAAGGACAGGAAGCACCAAATATAAATGTACATTACAATCATACCATGACTTCATACCGCCTTCCCCATTGTCTTTATACATCCTGTACACATAACTGTCTGTCGGTACATGCATTCGGTTAGCTTGGAGTAATGTCTTACTGAAATTATTTAGTTTTCGTGAGTACATCTCCAGGTACGAATTTTCTCGACGTAATCAAATAAAAGTCATTCTGACGTCTCAGAGTTACTGCCCTTCGTTTCACTCAGTTAGTACAACGATAACCTTGACAGTCGATGGGGGCCAAACATGATAAAAAAGGGAAATCGGTCACATCACCGACATGTTCTTACATGTATAAGGGAGGTAACTGTAACAGAAAATAATACTTGGGTTTTGAGTGCTTTATGTCTTGTTTCAGCCCGGGCAGTAATAATTCTTATGAAAGTAAGCAAATGCTACGCTCTTTTAAAAGATCTGTTTTGTTTGTTTTGTTTTGTTTTTTTTTTTACATATTAATTTACTCTTGAAACCGTTTTGTTGTTGTGGCGTTGTCAATAGCACTCAAGTGGCGCCATGTATACTGCATCCGATGCAATATTCCTGTTCACAACCGTACTTGCTGCTGCTCCAAAAACATATATTGATGTCAAATACAATTATAAGAGTTGTTATTTACAGTCTGTAAATAAATCGGAATAGGTTGCTGGATAACTACTTATCGAACTTGTTTGCGCTATCGTAAAAAAAAAAGAAATAATCTACACTGGAGTTTTTGGGAAGTGAGCATTTCACCATTAATACTCCCACACAATTGACACATAAAACAACATCCACCTTCTATAACGTATGGCCATGTGTACTTGGAAATGTGGATGTTCGCTTATATACCCGCCCTAATACACCATCCAACGGTTGGCATTTTTATTTCGTCTTTATCGATTTCTAAACAAATGACAAAAAACAAATTGCAATACACCCTAAACCATATCAGGAAAGATTTAAAAAGACACAGTATATCTATCTCTTACTGTGTTCAGAAGGATTTTCTAACAGATCGCACCGTTGCTGAAAGCTCATAAGAAATTGACCTTTGACATTGTTTATACATGTATCAGAGAGACCGGCAATATGGTTTAAAAGTTATCTCCCCTGTTTGCGTAATCCAGTCAATATAGCTAAGATGTTTTTTTGAACATGACAAAAATGAATAATTTTTGTTCAAACGATTCATACCGTGCCACACGTCAGAATAATTCACAGACAAGCTTTTCCTGTTGATAATGGAAATATTGATAAACATCACAGCTAGAGACTTAATAAATCAAAACCAATCGGGACATTAAAAACGGTATCCTTTAAATCCAACGGATCATTTACAAATGATACAACTTTTTAAAGGTTTACTTTGTTATAGGAGATACAAGCATGTACTTAAATGACATGGGTTTTTTAAGGATGGGCTTGGGTTTACAAGACGTGTTTGCAAGTTTTAGTGTATTTTTATGTCGTTGAATCTTACAACACGCTAGATCGTCTGAACTGTGTTAAACATCAGCTTTTCAATTATATTCTAGATATTCATTTCATCATATATATCATCAACACTTTATCAAAAATACCCTGATAAACAACACAGAAACTTGCAGAATATAGAAATCGTTCGGTCAACTCTGAAACATACCGTGCTTTTAATGTTACTTTCTAATGCATGCTTTTGGAATTTTTAACTCCATTGGGCGGTGAAATTATAGGAATCTCAAAGGGAGAAATAAAGCTTTTAATTTGACACGCGGGAGGCTTTTCGAATATTTTGCAACTTAAGAATCTTTTCCCTAAGAGTAGAGATCCAACACATCACTCACAAGAGGAATACTATTTCGCTCTTACTGTACGTGTTTTGTAAAAAATCTTTTTCAATGTCGTTCATTGTTAACATGACTCTTCAGGTTGACGTTTGCTTGACGTTATCAATCTCTATCAGAGTTGTCGTTCCTTAACAGTCTCAGTTGGCGTAACGCAATGCACTTTGGGAGAGATTTTGATGGTATAATCTATTTATTACAAAAAAAATCAATGAAGTCAGGAAAACTTTACTTGATATGTCAGTTTTCTTTAGTTCTTGTTTATTAAATTCGATACTATTTCTTTTAGTCATCTTTACCTTGATATCGTTAAACATCATACTGAAATCATCATGACAGCAAAAGCTCGTCCCAATATCATCACTAAATCACATTATCACTTTATCACCGACATCCTTATTTCAGTGTAATATCACAATATACACGTATACACTCCTAACACCCACTCCTGCACGTGGATTCTTACCACATGAAGCAAAATACATAATTCGACAAAATAATTACTACAAACAAATTATCTAATCAGTTCCCCACTCCTATCATCACCGTGCATATCATTAGATAAAACTATAAAATTTCACAAAACTACAAAACAAAAACGCAAAAACACCTACAACTGCAATAATTACGAAATAAATTATATTAACGAGTATGAATCACTCTTGTTGACCTGGATGGAAGCGCGCGAATGGTCTTACTGTGAAAGCAACTGAAGTAGTGACCTCATAGCGTATTTCACATCCATTAGGGGAATCGGACCTCGGACGTCAAGGTGAAAGACGATTGCGTCAACACTGCGCCACCCGGCCACTCTAGTAAGGTATACTTCTTTACATTGAAAAATTGTTGAATGCCACTATGGGTCAGTTCGACACCTGGCGTCAGACATTTAAACAGATGACCCTATTAGGTGTTGACTATTGGGTGCTTGTATGTGTGAAGAAAGAAACAAAAGATGTATATTTTTGACTGACGAAAGAAATTTTTTCGAAATCGGATATTGAGATCACTACTTTTGTAGGTGGTTTTCAAGTTATATAGATAAAGACCAATGGGTGTATATTGTAATCCGTTTGTATGTGTGTGGTACGCGACTGACTGGTCCTCACATCCTCAGTTCTTGTCGACCTTTCTCACACTTCGGTATCGAACCCAAACTCTACAATTAATCATCCAGAATTTAAGGAATTTTGATAACATACTGTAACTTGTCAGTATTCATAAACAAAGGTCGTGGATATTTACCTCCGCACCGACACTCACAACAATCGGCCAACACCCTCTTGAATAGTGTATGTCAGTAAATCAGTAATGATACCGCCCGTAAAAATAACAAACATATGGCGCTAATTGAAAGACATTGCATAGATTTGTTTTGTTACATGTACGTAATATTTTGATCAATCACATTATAAAGTTATTTGAATGTATGTACCGTAATTTACATAATTTATAAATAGAATGTATTGTCCACTAAACATCACATTGTGAAAAAAATGAACAGAATTCGAATTCGTAACCCTTGTATAAAATTATAGATTACTGTCAGTGAACCTAAAGTAGATAACACATTTCAAACAGGTTTCAACGTTTATCAGATTTGTTTATAAATATTTCACTTGGTTTTGTGTCCAGTAAAGTAACTTATATACAACACACACAGCAACAGACCAAGTTGTCAGCGTTCAACGATAAACTCAACTGTACTGTCTATTCACTTGAAGAAAAACAACCTGCTAAACCCAACCCCCCTCCCCCCAACGCCCCCAACACCCCCTGATTGTTATGGCTGGTTTTCTATATTACTGTAAATCTCTTAGATTTCGTGGTGGATTTATTTTCACGTTAAATACGCAGGGGAGAGTCAATCGCAAAGTAAAATCCCTCGCAATTATTTGCACGAAAATAACCCTGGGTGGTTACAGATATCGGAGTCTTGACGAGCTTATATATCTGATCGTTCATCATTCACCATTCACGAATTTAAAGCCATTTCTAGATCAGCGTGCGCGAAATAATGTATTCGCAAATATGTCTGAAGAGGTACGAGTAAACATAAAAAAAATATTTTCGAAGTCGAAGTGATTTATACAGAGCAAGGAAAGTGGGTCTTCACGTCCCCTGTATACATGTATAACCCTATCTCGGAGAGCCGTTGTCGAATGTTGATCTACATCCGAAGGTATCTAATTACACTGCGCACATTAAGAAAAAAAACACACAAATGCATACTGTATTTTAATTTTCAATTGTTCGTGAATGGCAGGTGTACGATAACTGATAGTCTGAGTAAGCGTGATGGGTACAGGTGCAGTTATAGAAATAGCACCTGTCGACAAATAACAGGTAACCATACAAATACTGCATATCGTTTATCCTATATAATGAATGCCTTAACTATACAATGACTAGGGTATTCGATTTCCGTCTTATTAGCATAAACGTTATCACGGTGTCGATAAATGGGTTTATGTACATACGTAATAAACTCTGAGGTGTGTAACGGTAAGTACTTATAGTATACATTTATACCGTTGCTGGATGGAAAGGTCTAAATTGTTTTTAAAATTCTGTTTATCAATCACCAGTATCGTAATTCAAAAGTTACACATTTTTCACCAAAAGTATTTTTTATCGATCACGAATATCGTGTTGAATGGGAAATTATCCACGTATCAGTTTTTTAAAAGTTCTACAGAAATGATACTTTTGTAATTCATGTTGTGCATATGTTATTGTACATTTGTGTTTGTTTGTAGAGGCACATGTCGTTTTGAAGCTTGCGCAAGCGTATAAAGGTCCATTAATTACTTAAACCGGTTTTTAAATGGGCGATGTATGTTTACATCCCTTAAATTTACATAAAAGTGGTTAAGATGTGAAGTGTCCATTGTTGGAAAAGCATGTATATCCAAGTGAAAGTTAAATAGGATTTCCATGCTGTCTGACCCCAATTCATATTTGTTTAATGCAGTTGAAGCACGTGCAAAAACATGCAGACGATAATGCGATGGTTACTATACCAGATGTCAAACGTGTTAATTGGGAATATTCTGTCTGTAGGAGTTCCCTAAACAGACAAAGCCCAAACCGTCGGAAATTTCGTCTAACAACTTCGTTTATCTTAATCTTATTGCTGTAAATGAGGAATAAATCTTGACGAATTTCCCAACGTTTTAAAATAACTGCACTATTTTCTCTTTTTACCTTTACAACACGCGCTCTGTACGATCTCCATGTGAATGCACGTGCGTCAACACTTGTAAACTACTCGAAATCTCATTGGCATTGTTTGGAACATCATTATTTAAATATCACGGACCTTCCGTTCTCTTTCTCAACATGAAACACGTGTCAAATCTGCAGGAACATTATTTCTGACGGAAGTGCAGAAAGCATGCTACTAAACCCGGCGCTCATGATAAAACCACTGCAAAATTTAATTAGAGTCGCGCGCCACTTGCACTGATCTGTAACCGTCAATTTGTGAAAATGTTCTCACATTTCAAAGCCGGAAAATCATGGTTGAATGAATCTGCTTCCGCCGTGGTAGATAAAGTCCGGTCTGACTGAAGACATTGTGTATCCTGACAGCTGTACACGAACAATTTGTGACTGAATAGCTTGACCATGTGTCGAATCGGAGCTGTTAATGGGTTTAGTGGACACAGGCTAGTTTTGGTCAGCACTGGTCAGTCAGGGTAACTGTAAACCGGCTACATGTATAGGTAAACAAAAAGCTAAGACTGATCGATACCCTACCGGTAAATAATCCAAAAAACTCTAATCACAGTGAATTATATCTGATAGACTTGAAAACGTTAATTTGTTCAGCGAGTGTCATAAATCTTCGTCTAGTAAATGGTAATGACACGCCTCATTTACAGTCTTCAACCGAATCATTTCCTAGACACACCTATTGGCACGAGCTGCGTTCGTGTTCGTCACGGATTCTTACGGTCAGTTTGACTGATGGTCAAAAAGTGATGATAGGCATAGGGTTACCTACACACACGCATACTTCCGGCCACATTGATAGACTCTCGATGATACTGCTGGGCGTCCTTGTCAGATAAACATCCTTTCAATATCTTTCATGCATTTTCATGTTATTATTTTACTGCATGTTACTGTAAAATTATGTGTTTTCGTGGGGTTCAAATTTCGTGGTTTTCCAGAAATTTCGTTGGCACTTGATCTCATGGATAAACCTTGCTCACAAAATTTACTATAACCGTAATTCATTCAAACTATTTTCGTGTACATAAATGCATTGATTTGGAGTTCCCCTAATTTAACAGAAATAAATCCCACGAAAATATATGACATTACAGTAAGATTTCGTCGACAGGTTGGTACAACAACAAAGTAGATTTCTCAAAGGAAAGAAAATCTGCTATAGAGATTGAAATATCTTAGTCTGTGTTGAAGGCAGGTTAGATTATGACTACAAACTCGAAAGAGTTGTACAGTGTGCAATTAGGAAATAATTGCTGTCAGTTTCCGGATTTATGTGCTATGATTCTAGACGTGAATTCATTAACATAATTTAATAAAGAACGACATAGTTTCATTTATCCTACTGGTAATTTACCCTAAGCCTCTGTAATGATAATGACTATTCTCCTAAAATGCCTAAATTCCATTTATCAAACATGTGTGATAATCACAGGCGCACAATATCAGATGGGATAGTTATAAAAACATCAGCTTCCGCATATCTGTGTTAAGTATTTGATGTTTTGAAATACCTGCGAAATGTTGATTTCTTTTGAACAACTGGATTTGAATGGCTTTAACATGGCCTCCCCTACGGTCTTCCTGTTTATTTCCGCGGAACTCCTCCTCCCCTAACCTGGATACATTGTTATACACCGGAAGACACTATCTCCCGTTGTTTGTTGAATGCATGCACACCCACCATCCTACTCCTGTCAGACAAACCATCTGGAAAAAGTCACTCACTACAAACACCATCCCATGATTAACCAATTTGTCAAAACAGCGCTGTTTTTGTTTTTTTTTACATTTATCTATCTATTTATCTATCTATTTATTGAATATTCAATTTGTTCTTTATTCATATATCTAATTTCGATTCATCTTTTTGTCGAATACGGACCGAACTTGTCAGTATTCATGAAATGCAATTTGGGTTAGTGTTACGGAGACTAGCTTAAATGGCCGACTTGATAAATATTTTTTTCTTTTGTCTGAAACTAGATATTTCAAAGTTAACATTTTTGAATACGATTAAAAATTCATGTGAGATCAGAGTCTAAATACATGTATTTACCTGAATTTGTCATATTGTTATACAGGTCTTTATGTTCCTGACAGATTGAAGGAAACTCGATCTCCGGTTTAGTATGTAAATTGATACTACTCCTCAGTAACTCGTTCTAACCCTGAACGATCAAGATTGAAAAAAAATCAAGTTGATTACAGAACTTATTTATACGGATACCTCAGTTGTTGATATCTTGAAACAGTTTCCCGTGGATGAGATAAAAACATAGACATTCCAATAAGAAATATAATATTTGTAGTAAGTACAGTTTTGTAATATAGAAAATAAAGAAAGTGCTATAATCCTACTAACTGAAAGGAAACACTGACCACAGACGTTTTCCTATATATCACAAATATTTCAGTGAATTTTCCAACCTCCGATCCTGTTGATAGCTATGTTTTTCCTTATTCGCCTTTATTCGTTCATTGTCTGCAATATGATGGATTGAAAACGAATTGTTTGTTTCAAAACTGTTTGTTCTTTTCTTGTTTTTGTCTCTAATTTACGTTTATCTAATACCCAATCATAATTCCAGCACTGTTTATAAAAATATTGCTCCAATATCTATCCTAATGTTCTATATGAAGATTTCATACTAACCTTCGGTTGTGGTTGGACGAAGTGGGATTATTATCATTGTTTCATATTTACGCTGTGTTAATATAGGGCCTGATCGTCTGTCTTCTGGGGTTCCTCAGGTGAATGTTAATACCATCATAAGTGTCCTATGTAACACGTTTGCTGAAGAAATAGTACAGAAATAGTTCCGATATGTTAGACCATAGACTTAAAATAAATTCCAAGTCCGTGGTTTGACTGCTTTCTGCCTCTCGAAACTTCCCAAAGTAGACGAGAATAAAGAATGAAATTCATCCCATTCAACATCACACTATTTTATTTCTTAATCACGATAGTCCGTCGTTCAAGCACTTGTCAAAGATTACACGTATATTGTAAAGTTTTGGGTGTATTTTTCACTATGTTCGAAAATGGAGTCAAATTACGAAAAGCAAACACATTAAAAATAGATTTTTCATGATTTCTAAAGAAAAAATGTCATTACCGCTTTACCTTGTTGCGCAAAACCGCGAAAAAAAACATGTATTGAAAAAATCTGTCTGTGTCAATTGATGACAGATATCGATATTTTCTTTACATTTTTATATATTCAGAAATGTATTTCGTTACGTGAAGCAGTTCTGTGCAGATATTAGATTTCAAATTATCAATCAGAAACACCGCTTGTTACTCTATTTACTGAAATTTTTTCATATCGGGAAACAGATGGCGATACCATGCTTTCCACAACCTGATTGGATCCCCATATCCATGAGAGGCCAACAGAGTATTGAACATTTTACCCTGAAAGTAAACAGGATCTAGATTGATTTCTTTGATGTTTATGGGTTTAACATTGAGTTTATATGCAACAATTGCTAGAAAGACATCGTCAAACTTAAACACTTTAGTATACTGCATTGCAATCTGGAGTCTCTTAACAAAGTCCATTGACATAATTATAGCGCCAGCATTTATGAATGGAGGGTACCTAGTGAATGGATAGTCTGAAATAGAAATGTACCATTTCTGAAATCGACATCTCTGTGGGCGATCTTGAGTCGACACGTGACCAGCAAAGAGAGACCGGGATTTGTTTTGAGGTAACCCGTGTAGGTAATTTAGTAGGTAATCCGTGGCGACGTAAAAGTCATCGTCCACCAGCATTACAAACTTAGATTTAGAACAATATCTGACACACCAGTTGATGCCCCCCATTGTCTTGTAGGTGTTATTGTAATAATCATCGACGTAAGTCATCTCCACGATATCACCATACACCAACTTCTCCAATGAAAGATGATGATTTATCGTTTTATTCATAGATCTTGCAAGCAAAAACACATGGCGGATGGTGTCTTCTTCAAAATACACCTGATTAGTCCAAGTTTTCCTGATAACTTGTCTTTGATCAAAATTTCCAGGCGCGGACTTGATCATAAACAAGAGAAATATACCTTTTGTTGATTTACAAATATTTGCGACAGGTTGTAAATATGAATATGGATACACATTGATTGGTTCAAAGTTCCTCCTGCGGGGTTTGGTGGTTTCCACGAATTCTGTAAAATTGATATCTAGGGGATGACTGAACATTCGGAATGGGAGGGCATTGTAGTTGCAATCTTGTTCAACTGTTTTTACGGAGGCGAAACGCATAAGCCAAACATTACTTAAACTAACAAAAGCCAGGATCAACAACAATTTAAGAGGTTGATGACGTCTGAGATACCCCAATCTCATTGTTAGGTTTTGATATAGCAGTTGGAAACCTCAAAATGAAAAAAAAAAATCCCTCTTAAACACAGTATTTCACTGTGTGTCTGTAAGATTACAGAAGAATATATCGTCTGATAGGTAGATATTACACACTACAGATACAGATTTCTGGATGTTTTTTTTCAAAGTTGACGCCTGTATCAACCGACCAGTCCTCTCTATATGCGAGTGTGTGACAGACTTGGTCCTAACAATGAAGAAATTTCCGGATCACAGTTGAGATATCCGTTAAGCGAGGCTCTGTCAGGTCAAATCCTCTTCCACTATTTGATAAGCCTATCCCCGACGTCAGTGCGCTTGGCCCTGTTAAAAAAACGCACAATTTTATACCGGTTGATAGTAATATTTTTTTTCAAACCAGATACTGTACGACATTAAATGAAAATATAAAAATGATAATATAGAATTTAAAGTCCCAGTATTCTATATCACTAACACTATTCATATCATTTTACGCCTCCCCACCCCAATTTTTTTGCTGATTAATATGTATTGAAATAGTTACGTAATATAAACAATTGAGATACATCCAACTCTGCTGACATACTGTACCTATGTTAGATGGATCCTCTGCTACTTCCTTGTTCCAAGGTCCAATCGCAGCTCAAATTGTACTTATTTTTTCAACAAAAATACTTCGACGTGTCTGTTAGGATTTAAATGCATTTTTTCATTTTCTGTCGTTGCATTTAATGATGATTTTTCACAATGGAAGATACAAAATACGTCTATAATATCCCGTAAACAACAGGTGTTTTCTGATGAAATTCATATAGATTAAAAAAACATCCGTATAGCGTCGTGGCCAAATTTAGACTACATTGAGTTTTGTTACGCACGGTAGCATATTACCATTGTCACGGATGATATACGATACTTTTATAGAGACAGTTGCCATTATATTCGTGGCAGCGTGTACAGACAGCCCGAACGGACGTTTTCCCCCCAACGGCTTAGAGGAAGCATTCCTCACTATGACTATGACACTGTAAACTGTACCAATTGTACATGTCATATTGGAGGAATAAAGCAAAATTATGATAAGGATGATGTACTCATTAAAGTTATTTCCAACTAATTAGCTCAATTTTTACTCCAAATATCCATTTCTTCTTTAACTTTAGCAATTTTCTGAAAACGTAAACGATAAGCTTGGGTTCATACAATTCTGAAAAGTAGACAAAAAATAATAAGGTCATTTTAGTGAACAAGGTTGCCAATATATCAGTCATCTATTTGAGAGGTTGGCGCCATGTTTTGTATAAAAGCCATCAAGTAAGACAAAAAATACACAAATATCTGTTCGATGAAAATGATCAAGCTTTAAATTAAAGAATTAGAATATTGCTCGAAAGATGTTCCTTCACTTTGCTAGCATGAAAGTAAAAATAACAAAACACCCTTGAACTTAATATCTAAAACAACGCAATATGCTTTTTCAACTACCTTTATTTCGGATTTCTATAGGAAATTAAAATCTTAACAAACTAAAGCGACAGCTAAAATCATAGAAACAGCACGTGTAGTATTGATCACTGGTTCCAAATACGGACAGTTAATATAAGCGACGAGAGTTATCGTTCTTTGTAAAAACTCTTTTATCATGTGCTCATTTATGGTGGTGAATCTCTGCTATCCAGTTTTTTTGTTTGTTTTTCTTTGTGTTCTTTTTTTTTGGTCGCATTACCTTTTATTAAGTTAAATATTGTGACAGGTCGTGTTATTTTGTAAAACCACCGTAGATTTTGGCCAAATTATTTCAACTTGTCCAGATAATATTCGAGACATGTTAAACTAAATACTTTGGTCAAAATCCGTAATAAACTTATGATGGACACAAAGAAACTGTTAGAATAATCAATTAATGAAATCTGTTGCTTTTTTGTAAGTGCACTAGTTTTTAATATGGATCTAAAGGTATTTTGTCTTCCCATGACGCCAGGAAGACGTTGCCGAATGGTTTAAGATACATGGTGCAAAGAGGCCAAGATGTACGACTGATATTACGATTTTACCATCCAGTTGTATAGTTCCACGTTCCAATTAAATGTTATTGTGATGTAAGAGATTGCGTCATTATTTATCAAGCACGGAGTAATGAATTTAACGTGTGCCGGCCTTGACCTTTAAAACAGATGAAAATGGGAGGCCTGTTCTCCTATCAGCCACAATAACGCACAGGGTCAGATTGGAGGTCACGTGTGGGGTCTGGCAGCTAAGTCAAATAAAGATAAGTCTGTTGTCTATTCAAGGCACCAGTCAATGTTACGCAACTTAAGAAAATAGGACAAGGAAAGGAATAGTCGGGTGTACACTAGTTTATGGCCAAACCTAATATTGAAGATGTAGTTTTTAGTTTTTTTGCCAATTGTCTGAAACTCTTCGAGATCACCTGTACAGATAATATCTTAATTCTACTTTCCCGGTCATCCATTATTTGTGGCCAGTCGTGTTATTCCGTCCGCCGGTAAACAAACCTTCTGATGCCTACAGCAAGTTTGTTCAGTATTAACAGAAACATCGTAATATTTTCTTTCCGCATTCTTTCTTAGTCCAGTTGTCATCCATTTATTTGCAGACCGATGAAACAAAAATGACGGGAAAAAGTATAGTTGTTGGTTTTTTTTTCAAAATGTGATTGACGGTCACGTGTTTTAAAGAAAAGTTCTCTATTTGCCCTGCTATGTATTAACATATCCTCTTATTTCAAAATAACTCGTCATTTTTTAAATTATATGCAATCATATCATCCAAAGATACATGCCAATATCACCAAATTAAAAGAAAAAGTATAATAGAGTGACATTTTGGTATTTATTTAAGATTCTCGAAGTCGGTGTAATTACAAGGTCATAAGGTCAATGCTATGGAGATCAGATTAATTATCATATCAAGTAATAAACATTACATATTAATCACGTCATGGTTTCCATTTAGTTGCTTTAGGACACGGAGAGTTGTATAAATCTTCTATCCATTTACATTTCGTGATCAATGCCAACAATGGCGATCCGAATAAAAAAAAATAAATGTTTATATTTCTTGTTGGTAAGCAATTCAAATATTCCAACTGATGTTTTTACATGTGACCTTTGTTGCTTGGCCAAAGATTAAGTTAATAAGAATCGTTTAATACAATATATTCATGAGAAATATTGCCTTGTAATATTATGAAATATTACGAAATAATATCACGTGACAGTAATTAACCTTCAACCTTTTGTAAATTAGAATTAAATTTCTATAATTGAATTATCTAGTAGAACATTTCATTTATAACAAAATCTACCTGATGAAAATTTTAGCCAAACGTGATTTTTAGTAAATTATGTTCCTGTTATTTTGTGGACATGAACACTGCTTTCTCTCTCCAGTCTTACTCATACCCCGTGATATGTTGTCTAAAATTATCATAAGATTTGTTCGTTGGAATTGTTCGTGTCTTTGAAGAAGAGTTTAATATATATATATTTTTTTGCATATATATTTAGTTTTAATAACATCTTTTTCATCATGTATTTGGTGTATCTGAACTATTAAAAAACCTACATTAGTTTTAGATATCTGTAAAAAGTCACTAATAATTACTATAAATGTACAACATGTGAGGTATGTCTGATCTTAGAAGTAAAAACAAAATGTTCATGTCATATACCAGACATATAAGATAGTTAGGCGCATAGGGATTTTTCTGATAGCCGGAATAACCTACATTTTCTAAACGTGAAGGAGAAGACAAAGTACAGCAAAATAAAACAGAATTATGGCGCGGGTGAGTGACATTTAAGTCTACTTCACATTATAGATATTATCTAGGATCATTCTTCCATCTTGAAAGCCAGAAAAGATGATATACCAGAGAAAACGACACACACATTGTAGAATGTTCCCGGGCCAGTAATTACGCATTGCCAATGTGATGTAAACCAGAGAAGATCTAAAACAACAGAGAACTCGCCAGGTCTTCATCAGCTTTCGGCTATCTCATCTTTCCACGAAATAAATATATTTTCATATTATCCAAATTTTGCCGAAAGTATACAAAGTTAGAGTTGGAAGTTTCCAAAACTACATAACACATAAAATATTGATATTATTGAGAAAAAAAATAAGGATAAAAAAAAATGGTTCTCTTTCCAGTGCAGTGATAAAAACAGACAAGATAAGTGTATACTATCGGAAGGGATAAAAAGCATCTTTGTGGCTTAGATCACAGACTGTCACTATGGAAGAGGTTATCAAACTGTTTGAGGAATACAAACGTTATGATATATGATAAACACTCTCTCAATTGAAATATGTGTAATCAAACCGATAAATCTTTTTTCTCGGAAAACACATTAATGTAATGCGCAATTTGTTAAGGGTGTATGTTTAGTATCTCGTCGCAAAAGATTAATCACACAACGCATACAGATGTACACAAGACAGATGTACACGGCAAGAAACGTATGTATATAAGCCTGTAAAACTGTTATACAAGACTTCTACAAATAAAATACAGAACGTGAACATGTTACCAGAATCTTAATCCGAACTCAATTTCGATGAAACAAAATAGGAACAAAAATAAGATTTTAATGGAGACCCCGGAAAAAGTACAAGGAGATTAGAACCAGGTGTTTCGGAAGAGTAAGCGTCTTCATTAACAACAACCGTGTTTATAGATGTTGGTCAATCAGGTTAAAGATTAACAACATTGAGACTACCAGGCATACTAATAAGCATCAAACACGTCCTAACTTTCAGAACCTACATCATCATAAATGACTTACACAGAGACAGACATAGCAGACTTGTACAAGTTGTATAAATGTATACAACACTCGTGCAAATACAAACATTGTTTTCTTGCTTGCTTTTTTTGTTTCGCCCAATGA